GCTGCATCAGACACGGCATGTTAGAGTCACCGCTGCATCAGATACAGTTTGGCCTTCAGTGGTGTATTCTCTCTTAAGAGAGGTAAGCCATGTCCACAGGTAACTTTCAGGAAGTGGAAAGTATAGCTAGGCTCTTGTAGTGGTTGATACATTATCCTGACCCTCAGTCTTGATGGAGTAAACACAGATTCCCAAATGGTAGGACCCTGTTGAGTAGTCAGTTTGGCCTGAGGAGAATGTGGTCATTACAAACGAGGTATATTATCTCCCAGTCCTGTGTTGTTGTTAAGTATGTCGAGTTGGTTCCAACTTGTAGCGACCCTTTATAGGGTTTCTGAGTTGCAGCTGGTGATCTTGAACTGCCAGCTTGGTGGTTGGCAATCTAGTGCTGACCCTACAGAGCCGCCCCAGGACTCCACTAGCTGGGTTGTTATTGTTGTTGTTATGTGCTGTCAAGTCGGATCCAACCCATAGTGACCCCGTATTCCTGCATTATTATGTATTTCTGCTTTAAAGGGACAAAATCAATGTGATTTAAAATAATTCAAGCCAAATGTCATGTGTATTTTACACAATTAAAGGATCCCTGGTGGCACAGTGGTTAAATGCTCAGCTGCTAACTCAGGGATCAGTGGTTCAAAGTCACCTGCTGCTCCATGGAAGAAAGATGAGGCAGTCGGTTTCTGTGACGATAAGAGTCTTAGAAAAAGCGTGTGTGGGCAGCTCTGCTCTGTCCTGGCCTCACTCTGAGTCAAAATCAAACCAAAGGCCGTGGGTTTGGTTTTTTGGGATATGTAGTTAGAGGACACTTGTATACGGTCTCTGTTCTGTTTCAGTTACAGGTCTGATGGGACCAAAAAGGAACCCCTGAAGATCAGTTCTATGGTAAGCAGTTACTTTTTTTTTTTGTCTTTTAGGTGAAAGAAGCTTTTTTTGTTTCTTCTCCCCTTTTTCTTTTGTTGGTGTGATAAAGTCACAAAGCTATTTTTGTTCGCTTAAATAAGAGAGCTCCTCTTTATGCAGTTCTCGCTTTGGTAAAAGTGTTCGTGTTTCAATCTGGAGGCCGCTGCCTATTTTGCACTTTTGATTGTAGTTTTGCTTTGATGTGTCCAGCAAGCCGCTGCCACCTTTGTGTAGCTCCAGCTCTCATCCAGCCTTTGGTGTTTCTAAGTTGACACCACTTCTCATGAGAGGTGCTCCGACCTCCGCTCACCTCCTGTCCCTTAGCATACAGCGGCGTACTCAGTAGTGGCTTTCCCTGGAGCCCAGGCACTTTGTAGTAGCTGAGTACCTTTGATAAACGCTCCATAGACGTGTGGCCAGAAGCTGCAGGTCCTGCTGTGATCTTTTCTATATCATCTCTTCTCCAGAGTCTGCAGAAAACAGTCAGGTCACCACCCCTGTCTTTCCATGAAAAGCATTTTCTTAAGACAGCCCATCCGGGTGCCATCCTTGAGAAGTGGGGTGACTCTGCACTCCCTGCTACTTTGCTCTCTAGCTACAGACAGAAAATTATTTTCTGAACTTGCATTTCTCTGAGGCTTACACTGCTCTGAGAAGTGCCTCCCAGCATTCCACCATCAAGGCCCCTTCCTGTGTCTCTCCCAGCTTTCTACCAAACAGCATCTACTTAACTTCCAACTGCTGATTCTGAGTGTCATACAAAAGCTGGTTTTTGTGTTGTTGTTAAGTGCTGTTGAGTCAGTTCCGACTCAGTGACCCTGTATAGGTTTTCCAAGGAGCGACTAGTGAGCTTGAACCACTGACCTTGCAGTCTAGCATATTAGCAGCCTCTTAAAGTCACTATTTCAAACACAAATTGAAGAATCTCAGTATTTACGTTTGCTTGTGCAACTTTATCATGGGAAAAGATAAAAGTTCTCTGTGTCTTTTAAATTTTACAACAATTGATGGACACTCCCCACCACCACCCATTACTATTTTCTTGACTCCCCTGTTGGGAAATGACTCATCTTTAAAATGCCATGCTGGTATCTAGTCTCAGAACAGTAATATTGACCAGGCCTTACGGAATTTATTTCAGCCTTAGCATTTGAAAGACAAGAGAACTTAGTGCCCAAGAACAGGTTGCTCAGGTAATCCAACAGAATGGAGACCAAGCTAGAATGCAAACCATCGTTCACACCTTCCTCCCATCCAGTGGGCTTCATACTGTGTCTGTGACAAATGATTCTTTGTTGGGTCTCACTAGGTCACCTGGGTCTCTCCTGGTAAAGAATTTCTTTGTGTTCCCAGTTAAATTGAACTCTTGGAGAGGTTAGAGCAGCAGGTGTTTCTGTGCTTTGGGACCCAGATATGGCACCTAGACTTGTGTGTCATGTGTCCCCTCTTCTGCGCAGAGAGCAGTGGCTGCGTCCTCTGGAGGGAGCTGAGCTGGAGACAGGGTTCCGGCCAGCATTCAGTTTGCCAGGGGCTCCTTGGCCTTCAGAAGTCATTCTTCAGCTGTTGTTGATGATTTCAGAAAGTGAATATTTGAAGGGAGGAAAGGACAAGAAATTTTTCATTGCTTCCTTTTTTTTTTTTTCGCATCTCCTCCCTTCCCTCAACCCCCCTCCAAAGAGCTGGGGCGCAGAAGGCTATCACCTGTGGGTAATCAGCGGATTTGGTTCCCAGAACTCTGAAAGTGAGGCTGACCTCAGGAGACCAACCAGACAGCCCAGCATCCTGCTCTTTCCATTCCTCAAGAGCGTGCTCACCGTGAACCCTTGTATGGTACGTGCACTTTATCCTGACCCTTCATTTGTTAATTGTTTAGTGGCTTTTGTGTTAGAGTTTCAACTTTTCCTGATGCCACAGATCTCCACAAACTTTCAAGCCCCCTCATATTGCTAAAAATGGCATATTATCCTTTTTGATGCATTTTCTGATTCTTAGGATTCTTTTTCATTTATATGAAACTTATACCAGTGTTCTATTTCTGGGCAGGTTTTGTGGGTTTCTTTTAATAGGGTCATGAGCCACTTGGGGGGAGCACTGTGTACAGATTGACATGAAATGAGTTTCTTTATCTAGAAAGCGGTTGCCACAAGTGTGTTCCACTAGGAACAACTTCAGAGACATGAAAATATACATTCTCTTGTCATGGCAGTGTAAAACCTGGGGTTAGACAAAGCTCTAGGGAGCTTTTGTAGGACTACAGAACCTTCAGTGTGCTAATGTGCCCTCTGAAAACCCAAGCACTGGCATATAAAAAACACTGTTGTTCAAACTTAGTCAACAATGAATTTTTAAGCAGAACCTTGAGAAAAATATTTCTCGGAACCTGCTTTGTGGAACACTGCTCCAAACGATATGAACTTCTCACACTCCACTCTGAAGTAGTGTCTCATTAAGTTACGTAGGAATATGTCATTGTAATCTACTGCCATCGAACCAGTTCCAACTCCTAGTAACCGTCTAGGGCAGAGTAGAGCTGTCAGACGGGAGCAGGCAGCCTCCTCTTTCTCCCCCAGAGTGGCTGTGAGTTTGAACTGCTGACCTTTCAGTTAGCAGTCCATTCCTAACCCCATTACAACACCCATAGATTTTTAAATAGTGTGACTTGTTTTTAATTTTACAGTGATAGTCCATTGGTAAAGAAGGTACAGAGAGCCTGTAGTTGAAGCGTAAGCATCCCAAGAAAAACAAGAGTAGAGTGTGTTTCCTCCCTCAACCGAAATTGTAGTTGAGAAGCTGGATGGAATGGCTGGCTGGGTTGGGTGCTGCTCCAGCTTACTGGGATAGCTAATGCTGTAGTTCTCGTCGAAAACCAAGCAACATAACTAAGGACAGAAACCATCATCGTTGTCAGAGTAGCATCCAAGCCTAGCAGAGGTCTTGGCATTAACCAAGCGCTCACCAAATGATTGTGGACTAGATAGAATGTAGGCCACGCTGCTCTTCCACCATGACTTAGAAGCTCCTCCGGATACCCCCACCCCCTCTTCTTGCCTGGTAGTGACATGGGTAAGCACACACACACGTCACGAGGTATTTATGGTGAAGTATTTTGTAAATTGCAAACAATGGATAGTTGCGTCCATATTTCAGAGGGGAAGGCTCTGTGACTTGGCTATTTTGAAGACGTGATGAAAGATGCTGCTCTAACGGTTGTCAGCTGAGCTGTTGAGTTTTGGACTCTGTGAAAAAGCAGGCTTTACCAGAGATTAAATCCACATTGCTAAGTAGGCATTCCAGATATTGCCTGTCTCTCCCAAATATACTCATTGCGTCTCTTTGTCTTCTGTGAAGAAAGCCCCTGTTGAGATGTATGAGGGTCAGTCAAAAAGTATTGCTGTTGGGGGTTCCATTAAAGTCAGCACAGAGAGGTCAGCTCAGGTTAGGGTTGACTGTGTTTTAGGACCGAAAGGGGTCATCGTGATAGATTTTCTCAAAGAACACAGGGTGACTACAGTGGCTTAGTAAGCTTTAAGAAAACTGAAAACTGCATTGGTGAGGAAAAGGCCAGAAAAGTTGTGCACTGGGAACAAAGGATTCCTGTGAGAATTGTGTTGGGAAACCTTACCCATTCACTCAACAGCCTTGATCTCACCCCTTCAGACTTCTTTTTGTTTTCCCAACTCGGGGAACACAATGTGGATCTCTCGAAGATGCCAGAACTGCCGTTTTGATGTTGTTTAAGTCAGAGTCCAGAGCTCTTCAGGGAAGGCTTGTTAGGTGCAGTTCTGACTCATCGCAATGCTCCGCACACCGGTGCTCCGTACACCAGAACCAAACACTGCCCGGTTCTGTGCCGTCCTCACAGTCACTGTTACGTTGGAGCTCCTTGCTGTAGCCACTGTCAGTCCATCTTGTTGGAGCGCTTCCTCATTTCCGCTGACCCTCTGCTTTATGGAGCATGGTGTCTGCTGCTCCCAAAAGCATGTAGATCAGGATGGGGGAAATGGCAAGAAACAGTAGCTTCACACTCTGATACGTTTTGTAGCGATACTTTGTGACTGGCCCTCCTGTGGTACCTTTGCTATAATGAAACCAAGCAGATGTGTTACCTCCTTTCCCTACCTGACATCAAAGTGTTTGTATTGATTTGTTCTCTTCCTTTACGCCTCCTTCCTCCCAAACCTCATTAGAGCAATCAAGAGCAGGTGCTGCTTCAGGGGGAGGATCGCTTGTACTTGAACTGCGGGGAGGCCTCCCAAGCTCAGAACCCCCGGGGCTCCTCAGCACACTCCCCGCACACACCCGGCCGGGAAAGGAGCCCGTTTGCCGATGGAGGTGTAGAGTCTCAGGGTTTAAGCACTTTGCTTGGACATCGACACTGGCATGTTGTACAGGTAAGGCGTGAATTAACTCGTCACTTGACTTGTCTTTACATAAGATGACACCCTGAGCAGATTGTTTTTTCATTCTCAGTTGTTGCATTAGAGCATTGCGACTCTCAGAAACCTTTTTGACTGATGTGTCTCTGCTGCTTTTCCATGTCGTGGTCTTTGTATGTCTGCTCCATCCGCTCGTTCCCCTTGATGGAGCTAGAGTAGTGTGTTCCCACCTGCTTAAGTCCAAGGGTATGCACAGGGTCAAAAGCTGGAAGCTTTATGTTTTGTCCCTTAGTAAGCAAAACCATTGATGCCACCACCAGTCTGTTCTGTATATAAATGCAGGCCTGTGGGTTTGCCTTGGCAGACGTGCAGGGGCAGTCTTGTGTGGACCCCTGTATGGCTGGTCTGGCAGTCCAAGTGGAACTATAGGGAGGTGAACTACCCTAACTGCAGACTTGATCAGTCTCAAATTGTATTGTTAATAAACCTAATCCTGTCTCAAACTGTTGACTTGTCATAATGTAACTTCTCAAATGAGCAGTGTCCTTGAGTAATTGGATAAATTGGGAATCAAGTCTGAGCTTTGATAGAAAATAAAATTAAATGGGGGCATGAATAAGCTGGTGTTCCCTAAAACAAGGTTGCATATTGTTTCGAAGTCCTGAGTGATATGCTTTCTTTCCTCTTTGATATCAGAATAGTTTTGGTACATCAGCGCGTACTAGATTCATTTCTTTTAGCTGATGTCTATTTCCACAGTTGTCCGCCTTCTACATCGTACCTTTGCCTCGTTAGCTGATCTCAATACCCATCTATTTTCAGTTGACTCTGAGGGGGAGGTAACATAAGACAGGAAATGGTTACTATATGGAAGATTGAAGGAAGAAATGGTTCCTGCAGTGATGTGTGGTATACACTAAACGAAAATGTGTTTGATTTACATAAATAAATTCATAAAATCAAATATTGTACAGACCATTTTATAATCAGTAACAATTATTAAATAAACTGATCCACTACTTCCTTGACTAAAGTTTCCCACTGCTCCCTTCTCTCCTATAGCCGTTACTCTGCCATTTTCATTTCCCCACACTTTGAACTGTCCACTCTACACTGACCTAGCATCAGTGCCAGTTCTGCCTAGCCAGGGCTGTGCTACCAGAGAGCCAAGTAGAGCAGAGGACCAAAGAAGGTAGGTCTGCAACTCAAAAACCCACTAGTGAGTTTCCTTCCAGCTCACAGTCAGTGATTCTTGGTGATTTTTTGAAGTGTCTCAAATTAGAAGCACATGACCCTGGTTTCAGGACTTTCAACAAACTAGGTTCTAGCAAGAGTCTTCTGTTGACCTTTCCTTTTTGAAAAGTTGAACTTGGTGAGCTCCAGTTTTACCTAATTTTTTTTTTTTTCTTTTCAGTTTTCTGAAAAGTATTAAAAATAACACGAGAGCTGTATTCATGAAGTTTCATTAACTTATAATAAACTCACAGGGTTATTAGCGCTGGGAGGACCTTAGAGGACATCTACTCCATATAGATTTTCTCCATAAGGAAACTGAGGCTCAGGGATGTTAGACGGCTTGCCCAAGGTCACAGCTGCACATACATTAAAGAAACATTCTACCCTGTTTTAAAACCCAGGCAGACATATAGTATGGTACTGCTTACTGCTGACCCTGAGGGCAAAGCTAGAATTAGCCTTTCTGGTGGTGTTTTTACTTGGAGTGGTCCTATACTGTAGCCCCCACTCTGGTGGGGGATGGTAGGGAGGCTGACAGCACCCTTAGAATGCTGAAGCTTTACCTTGCAGGCCTTAGACTCATTCCTAGTGGGCCCTGAAGAAATCGGGACTGGCCTCAGTTCCTCCATCCTTGCAGTTTTGTCTCATCGGAGAGCCCGTGGCCTCCAGCAGAGCGGCTTTGTGGGATGGTTTGTACTCTGTAAGCTGCTTGCACTATGTAGCATCCATCAAGTGAGCTCTGGCCCGTTCTGCCCTTCTTTCTGTCCCTCATCCCGGGAAGTGGGTGTAGGGACTATGGGGATGAAGTTATCCTACTTTACACCATCCCAGAGTTTCCACTGTAGGGGATTCTGTGCCCAGTATGTTGTTTCCTTCAGCTGAACACAAATGCATACTTGGCAGAAGCAGGGCTAATAGCTGTGCTGATAAAGAAGGTGCCTTGCACACTTTTTGTTTTAAGTTTTTTGTTCCAGCTGCAGATTTTTTTTTTTTTTAATTTTGAAAGGCCTCCTGGCCTTCTAGCTCTGCTGCATTTGGGCCTAGCTTGTATGTGATTACTCAGACATCTGCTTCTCAGAGGTGCGTGCTCCAAGGACGCTGGTTTTATCGTTAACCTGTCTGTGAAGATTGGGAGAGGAGGTAGCAAATAAGCATCTATAATGATGGCATCAAGCAATGTCAAGTGAGGGGTTCGAGTCCCGAGGTAACATACTTGGCTAAGCACTCAACTTTTAACCAAAAGATTAGTGGTTCAAACCCACCCAAAGGCACCTCCAGACAATCTGCTTCTGAACAATTACAGCTTTGAGAACTCTGGAGCACAGTTTTAAAGAGTGATTTTATGTATAGAGTGTTTGCTCTCGTACCTCTGCAGTGTGTCAAACTTACCACCCTATGAGCAAGTCAACACAGAGCTAGTCTGGGCAGGACACAGGTCCCTAGCAGAATGCGTTTTTTTAAAAACAGAGGTTGGTTGCAGCTCTTCAAGAGAGACAGGAAAACCCTCAGAGAAGAACAGTCGAGACTCTGACCCCCCAGCACACAGGTTCCCAGGGGGTGGTGCAACCTTGGTCCTGGCCAGGCAGGTGACCCACGGGCATTTCTTTCTTCATAGCTACCCTTTCCCGTTCTCAGCATTAGAGGGAAAGCTCAGCGTCCAAACAATAGGGCGTCTGTGTGACCTGCTGAGAAAGAAATGTTTGATTCTAGTGTGGCTCTCCCAACACCTCAGACACGGAGCTGCAGGGAGCAAGGCTCCACTTAAACTTGCACTTGGCATTCATGACGCCTCAAACACGAGACTGATCACGTGCTAGGATCCCACTTTGGTCGCCTTACTTAGAAACAGCCCCTCATGCTGGGATCCACTTTTGCAGTCGGCTTCCAGCTCCCACTGGAGCACCCAGACACGTTTCAGAATCCTTCCCAAGCACAGAGTGAGGGCATGGGAGCCCTTTCGGGTGTCCTGTGTGGCTGACTCAGTTATACCCAGGCACATCTTTCTTCAAGCAAATCTTTTTCTGTTCTGTTCTTTATCCAAAAGAATTTCACTCACCGCCTCCTAGAAAACAACTGGGAGTTGTTTTCAACTTGTATTTTTCCTCCCAAATCATTACCTCAAGCACCAACTTTGCCCATCACAGTGAATGTTGCCAGTTGGCACCCAAAGCGCATGTTAGTGCACAGCAGATGTCCACAAACCGCCATGAGGGGTACAACCGTCTGATGTAGCTGTGAGGAATCAGCTCTGTCAGGAGGATAAGTGCTTGAGTTTGTGTTTTGTTTTCATGTTATCCAAAGAATCTGAATTTGACTGCGCTTGGCTTTTGAATTTGGTGTCTTTTTTATTTCTCTTGAGTATGTCACAATGTTCTTTGAGTCACATACAGATAAATGTGAATAAAATTGAAGTTTTCTCCTCTTCCAGGCACAGAAGGCTCTTTCTTTGTCCTGTTGCTTCTCACTCTACTCTCGCCAATAGTCAGTGGGTCAATAAAGCTAGGTCTTATGTCATTGACATTCGTCTCCCACAAGGGAGTCTTTATGTTGGAGAGTCTTACTAAGACTATCCAGAGACACTATGTACAAGGATTTCAGGCAGCATGGGAAAATCGATTTCTGGTACAGATGACGGATACATCTCTGTCATCTACTCAGTTCTCATGGATGTGAGTACATCGAACCACCCCAGTTGAAAAATAGCAGCTTATTCAAACTCTCAGGGTCCTGGGATGGCACTGTAGGAAAAGCACTGAACTGCAAAGTTGGTTTGAACTGCAAGACTGGAAATTCAAAGCCAGCAGCTGCTCCTTGGGTCAGAACGGACTCTACAGCTCTAAACAACAAGACATGTCGTCCCCGAGCAGGAATAAAGCGGGAGAATTTCCTACATTGTTAAAATAGTATAAGCATATATTGCTTTTTAAGTCAGGAAACCGTAACAGTCACAAAAGATGTTCCACAAACAAAAGCAGAACTCCTGTTGTGACGCATTGCATTAGACAGGCTGTTTGGGAATGGCTGAGCTCAGCAAACCCACACCCTGTTCACCGGCACCGTGTCTGGACTGCCCTGTCGGGTTTTTCTGAAAAGTTCTTGACCTGTCCTCAGTATTGAAAACAAATGAGCAGAAACACTGTGGGAAGAAGGACGAAAGCTGGACCTCTAGAAACTTGAGATGAAATGGTTAAGTCAGGAGACACAAAATGTTGCCTGGCATCCACATGTTCAGTTTCAAGTATGTTCTAGTAATAGCCGTCATCTGGAGGCACCAGACATTGAATGGAGTCCTGGTGTGGCCCTGTAGGAGAAGCACCGGACTGCTAACTACAAGGTTGGTGGTTCATACCCACCAGCTGATCCTCGTAAACCTTCCATAGGGTTGCTGTGAGTTGGAATCAACTCGATGGCACTTAGCGACAACCACAAACACTGTGTTGTTGTTAAGTGCTGTCGGGTCGATTCTGGCCCATAGCGACTCTGTTTAGGGTTTCCATGGAGCACCTGGTAAGCTTGAACCACTGACTTTGCAGTTCAAACGACTTTGCAGTCTGGAAAGTAAATTTTGTATTGTAATAAATTGGTGCTTTCTTTGCTGTACATGTAAATGCATTTCAGAGGTCTTACCAGACTGCTATGTTGTTTTCTTTAGATTTCAAGCACCTATCTAGAGAGCAATTGGCCTATACGGGTGAGTCGTTACTTGGTTTGGTTGATGATCACTTGTTAGCATTTGCTAGAAGCAGTATTTTGGGGACTGAGCCCTTTAGCACGTGTATTGGTAAAACTCTAATAGTTGGTCTGTCGTACGTGCCAGTGTATTAGCATCTGTAATTTTGTTAAATATAGCTTGAATATAAATATCTAGATTTTAAACTTTACCATTTTATATATAATTCAAGTAGCAGACATTTATTTGTAGTGTGTTTTCCTGACTCACAGTAAGCGTATTCTAATAACATACGTAAATTTGCAAAGAAGTTCTTAACTTTTTTTTTCAACAGTTTTCAGCTATTGATAAGCTTGGGCAGAATATTGCTGTGGTTGGCAAGTTTGGTTTTGCACACTACTCTTTACTCACCAAAAAATGGAAGCTTTTTGGAAACATTACCCAGGTCAGTCTTTTTTAAAATTAAAATCAATTTTTCAAAGTAAGAAGAGCTATACCATAAAATAGCTTTAAGGCGAGTCAGTATTTACTTATAAAATGTATATAAAGTCACATATAAAAAAGTGGTATTAAGTTATGTCGAAGAGTTGACTTTTGATATCAAAGTATTTGATATTTAGTAAAGGATTGTGTATTGAAATTGTTGACTTGTTTTTTGATTCCTGTTATGCACAAACACTTAAATTCTTTAGCTTGGGAATGTACTCTTCCATTCCAGATTAAGTTTCATCACATGTGATTAGAATGAAGTTTATACAATTTGAGATCATTCCCTGCTTGTGTGTGTATGTATGTGTGTGTGAGAGAGAGAGAGAGATCAAGCCCCCTCATATATGGATAGCGTACCCACATATGCAGTTGGATTTTACAAGAATCAAATAGGAAGAAAAGAGAAGGAAATGAACATTTAGTAGATGTCTACTGTATGCCAGGGACTTTTAGGTGCTTTTGCATATGTTACCTCACTAAGCTCTCTAACACCAATGAGGATCATGTTGCTACTGTTCCATAAGAGAGAAAAGGAAGACTCAGAGTAACCCAGCTGGTAATTAACAAAGTTGGAATTTAAACCTTGCTCCGCTGGATGTGGATCTAGTAATGCTATATGGTATCTGGTTATTTCAACTGATGTACTTACTGTTTGATTTATGGAAATGTTTATTTTTAAAATTTGCATATGCATAATTAATAAGTCCCCAGAGTGATTCTTCATTAGACAGAGAAAGTGTAGAGCAGAAGTAATTTTCATAGTCTGCTTAAGAAGATTGTGTAAATGTATTACTTTCTTATCATTTCTAATAGCATAAAGGTAAAAAATAAATTTTTTCTTTAAAGGAACAAAATATGATTGTAACAGGTGGCCTGGCCTGGTGGAATGATTTCATTGTCCTTGCATGTTATAACATAAGTGACCGTCAAGAAGAGGTAAGAAAAAATGTTTCTCAGAAATAACAGATTTTCACATAATTAAGCATAGACACTGCTTTTAAATGGAAATAATCTACTGAAAACTTAAACAAAGCATTATTATGCTTTTTGAATCAAGAATGTTTATTGGATCAAGAGTACCTAATGGGATTTTACTTTAAGCTTTTTTCTATTTTTAAAAAAATGTTTAAATGATAGTCAGGACTTATAAAAAATGCTTTTAAAATATATTTGCTGTTAGGCAGTCTCTGTAAGAATTGAAAATTTAAAAAACATGTAACTGTTAAAAGTGGAAAAGGTTGTAATGTAAGGATGAAGATAGATTTCTGGATTTATTGGGGTAGTATGTTTCTGTGTTCCACCACTCGTCTGTCAGTTGACTGTACTGTGTGTGGGGGCTTGTGTCTTGCGGGGATGCTGAAAGCTTTACTAGTGACGTTTTCAATCCCCGCAGGCTCACCATGGTGGACAGATTTCAGCAAAGCTTCCAGACTAAGGTAGACTCAGAAGGAGACGTAGACTACTTCTGAAGGGTTAGCCACTGACAGTCTCAATAGCAGCAGAACATTGTCATCATGCTGGGAGATGAACCCCTGAGGTTGGAAGGCACTTAAAATATGACTGGGAGGAGCTGCCTCCTCAAAGTAGAGTTGACCTTAGTGATGTGGGTGGAGTAAAGCTTCCAGGACCTTCATTTGCATATGGTACACAACTCAAAATGAGAAGAAACAGCTGCAAACATCCATTAGTAGTCAGAACCTTGACAGTACAAAGAATGAGTCTAAGAAAATTGGAAGTCATCAAAAATTAAATGGATCACATAAAGATTGATATCCTACGCATAAATGAGCTTGAAATGGACTAGTATTGGCCATTTTGAATTGGACATTCATGGTTTACTCTGCCAGGAATGACAAACTGAAAGAGGAATGATGCCATCATCATCAAAAAGAGCACTTTAATATCAATCTTGAAATACAGTGCTATCTGAGAGATAGGGTTATATTCCTATGCCTACAAGGAGTCCTGGTGTGGCGCTCTCAGATAATCACTGGACTGGTAACTGCAAGGTTGGCAGTTCAAACCCACCAGCTGCTCCTTGGAAATCCTATAGAGGGCTGCTTAAGTCAGAACTGGCTCCACAGTACACAACCCACCACCAGCAACAACTTCTTTAGTCTGAAATTGATCAGACATGCAATCAAGACTCATTGGTACTTACTGGTTATTAGAATGCAAAGGTTGGAAACAAACAGGAACTTAGTGATAGAAACAATGCTGGAAATCCACATGGTAGGACTTTGCAAGACCAATGACTTCTTCATTGCAAATACCTTTTTTCAGCAACATAAAAGGCCTCACCAGATAGCATACGCAGGAATCAAATTGACTACGTCTGTGGGAAGAGATGATGGAGAAACTCAGTAACACCAGTCAAAACAAAGTCAGGGCAGACTGTGGAACAGATCCTCAATTGCTAATATGCTGAAGCTGAAGAAAATTCAATACATGAAATCCAGAATACAGCCTTGGCTATATCCTTCCTCAATTTAGAGACCATCTCAAGAACAGATTTGATGCATTAGGCATTAATGACCGAAGACCAGAGGAATTGTGGGATAATATCAAGAACATCATACCTGAAGAAAGCAAAAGATCACTAAAAATACAGAAAAGAAATAAAAGAAATGGGTGTCAGAGAGACTTTGAAATTTGTTTTAGAACATAGAGAAGCTGAAGTGGCAAAAAGGAATGCTGTGATTAAAAGAGCTGAACAGAATGTTTCAAAGGGCAGCTTAAGAAGACAAAGTATTAAATGAACTGTACAAAGACCCTTTGGAAGAGCACACTCAGCATTTCTCAACTGAAAGAACTGAAGAAAAATTAAAACCTGTTTGCATGCAGTTGATGTTTTCTATGGGCCAAATATTGAATGATGCAGGAAGTACTAAAAGAAGATGGAAGGAATACTCGTAGTCAATTTTCCAAAAAGAATTGGTGGTGTTCAGTCATTTTCAAGAGGTAGCAAATGATCAAGAACCAGTGGTACTGAAGGGAGAAGTCTAAGTTGCACTGAAGGCATTGACGAAAAACAAGGATCCAGGAATTGACAGAATACAAACTGAAATCCTTCAGCAAACTGATGCAGCCAGCACTGGAGGCACTCACTCATCTGTCAAAAAATTTGGAGGACAGTTACCTGGCCAACCGAGTGGAAGAGATCCATACCTGTACCCATTCCAAAGAAAAGTGAGCCAACTGAAGTCATGGAATGGTATCATTAATATCACATACAGGTCACATTTTACTGAAGATAATTTAAAAAAACTATTGCATCTTTACATCACCAGAATGCTGCCAGAAATTCAAGTTGAATTCAGAAGAGGATGTGTGGCACTAGGGAAATCATTGCTGACATCAGATGGTTCTTGACTGAAAGCAGAGCATACCAGAAAGATGTTTAGTTATGCTTTACTGACTACGCAAAGGCATTTGTGTGGATCATAACAAACCACAGATAACATTGCGAAGAATGGGTATTGCAGAATGCTTCATTGTGCTCATAAAGAGCCTGTAGTTAGACAAATAGGCAGAGCCACTCGAACAGAACAAGGGATGCTGAATACTGTAGCGTACGGAAAGTCATTGAAACTAGTGTTTGAAGAACATGGTTATCAGGATTGGAGGGAAGACTCATTAACAACCTGAAATTTGCAGATGATACAGCCTTGCTTGCTGGAAGTGAAGAGAACTTAGAATAATTACTAATGAAAGTCAAAGACTGCAACCTGCATACAGGACCAATAAATGACATCACGATAAATGGAGAAAATATTGAAGTTGTGAACAATTTCATTTTGCTTAGATTCCTATGAATGAATGTTCATGGAAGCACCAGTCAAGAAATCAGACGATGTACTAATGCATTCGGCAGATCTGTTGCAGAAGACCTCTTTAAAGTGTTAAAAGAGCAGAGATGTCGATTTGAAGACTAAGGTATGCCTGACCTAAGCCCGGGTTTTTTCAGCTGCCTCATACGCATGTGAAAGTTGCACAATGAATAAGGAAGATCATAAAACAATTGATGCATTTGAATTATGGTATTGGATAATATTGAAAGTGCCATGGATTGCTACAAGAAGTAACAAATCTGTTTTGAAAGAAGCACAGCCAGAGTGCCCCATAGAAGTGAAGATCACGAGACGTCATCTTTCATGCTTTGGGCACGTTATCAGGAGGGACCAGTCCCTGAGAAGGACATCATCCTTGGTAAAGTGGGAAGGTCAGCGAAAAAGAAGATGACCCGCAATGAGATGGATTGACGCAGTGGCAGCAACAGTGGGCTCCAACTTAATCAATTGTGAGGATGGCACAGGACTGACCGAGCAGTGTTTGATTCTGTGCATGTGGTCACTGTAAGTTAGAACCAACTGGAAGCCACCTAACAATGTTGGTTTTTCGGGAAACCACTGGTCTTCTTACCTCAAGTCAAAGAAGGAGATTCACTAATATAATGCAATTCATAGTTTTGGTCATCTCAGCTTTTGGTTATTTATAGACTGAGCCTTGCCTGCCAAAGTAGAAGTATTAGTCAGTTATTACTAAAACTCAGATATTAGAGCTTTTCCTTCCTCTTAAAAAAGAGTTTAATTAAAAACAGCACTGGGAAAGTATGTAGTCATTATGGGTGTCCTCTTGTTTTTACAGCCTTCTTTCTTTTTGTTCTCTTCAGCTCAGAGTCTATTTGCGGACATCAAATCTGGACAACGCGTTTGCTCATGTCACCAAAGCACAAGCAGAAACATTACTGCTGAGTGTCTTTCGGGACATGGTGATAGTGTTTCGAGCCGATTGTTCAATATGCCTTTACAGTATTGAGAGGAGAGCCGAAGGGTGAGGAGGGCGGGGACAAGTGTCTGGTGGCCAGCCTGCCGCGTTTCCTCCATACTTTAGTTTTTCTCGCTTTCTCAGTTTTTCTGTATGTATGGTTAGTTCATTTCCTTTGGTTATTAATATTCTTAGATTCATTTGGGGAAAAAGTCTAGTTAGAGATGAGGCAAACCTTTATTACTGATTTTTTTCCACACAACCTTGAATGTTAAGTGCTTGCTGTCACTATGCCCCAGACACCCGGGGGACGACTCAGGTGTCACACAGCCTGAACGCTCAGGGAAGCATGGCATCAGCTCCCTCACATCTCTGAGCTCAGTTACAGTAATGCTACGGCTCCGGGCTGCCTGTGTTCGTCCAGGCCGCTGGTGGCCCAACAGCATGGAGTCCCAGCCCTGGGTTTGCCTTTATTCTCACTGATTTTTAAACAGCCATGAAGTGTGTACTTGCTGAGGAGAAGTGGGGCTGAGGGAGGGGTGTAAAGCTAGAAGCTGAATAGTCTGACTGCCTGCACCCTAGACACCCGCACTGTCTTCCTCACCCAACTAGACTTTCCCCCTTAATCACTTGTATTGTGGCGTCTTGCCCAGTTTTTCCTGCCCCTTTTTCACCTTGTTCCGTTTCTCCCTCTTCTCCATACACCCTCCTCAGATCCCTCAACCTTACTGGCTGCGGCTTGGAGGACATTGTGGGAGGAGAGGGCTGTAGGTGGGTGGCATCTGGGTCCTAGGATGGAGCCTACTGGTGCTGTCCCCAGAGGAGAGGGGCACACGCCCTTTGTGCCCCGGTGCTGAGCTCTGGGGTCTCTCTTGTCTTTGCAGGCCCAGTGCTCCCGCCAGTCTCCACAGTCTGCAGGAGGTCTCCATGTCCCGCTACATCCCTCACCCTTTTCTGGTCGTGTCTGTCACACTGACGTCCGTGAGCACAGAGAACGGAATCGCCTTGAAAATGACGCAGCAGGTACCGTTCCTTGATCAGAGTTCTTGGGAGTTTGTATCTCCACCTATAGTGTGTAAGCTGATGTCAAGAACCGTATGTTCAGCAGATGAATGTGCCTTGTGTGAAGAAGCCTGGTTAGAGCGGCAGACGATACGGCAGGGTTCTGCTCAGCCACTGCAGACATGCTGGAGTCCCAAAAAGCAGCACAGGTTACTACTGTGAGAGAGATCCGGAGAGTCCGCCCACATCCGTGGGAGCTGGGAATGAGTAGCGGCTGTCCAGACCCAGAGAAGTGAAAGGCTTGAAGTAGCTGGCATGTGAGAGTGAGAGGGAGGGAGTGAGCTTTACAGACTGCAGGCGGGGGGAGCCCTTGACTTGTGTCCTGAGAACACTGTTTGAAACTGGGAGTTACAAAGAGAAGCTTAATCAAGGTGACTCTAACTGTAAAGGGAAATGATTGGACCAAAACTAGGTGCCGGGAGCACGGCTGGGAGGCTGTTGTAAGTGACCCAGGTCAATAGTGTGCTGACCCTGGACAGAGAAAAGCTGGGAAGAAGTGGACACAGTGTGTAGTGGACTCAGGGATGGAGTAACTGTGAGGAGAGAAAGGAACCTCATAGCTTCTGTGCCAAGAACTGGGGGTGGTGTGACCCCAGGACTCAGGTTACGTCACTCCGTGCTCCAAGTCTCCTTCCAGTCCAGCAACCTCCTCGTCTCACATCCACGTGGAGCCCACTCTCAGAGGAAAAGCCCATGTAGCTATAACTCGTAGAATCCGCCCTTTCTGTCCAGTCTGTATTTTACTCCGATTGAGGCGCTTCTGCTGAGCTCAGCATGCACCAGACTAGTCAGCTATGGGGAATCCACACCTTCATGAGGCACTTTTCCATTATACGTGTGCTTGTCAACAAACAAGCTATTTATATGGATTTAAAATCTGACTTAGGAGCTCTAAAAGGAGCTGCCAACCTCAAGGTCAGCAGTTCCAAACCACCAACGGTTCCGCAGGAGAAAGAGGAGGCGCTCTGCTCCCATAAAGATTTACAGCCTCGGAAACCCTGTACAGGGTCGCTATGAGTCAGAACCGACTCCACGGTTCTTAACAACAACAAAATCTGACTTAGTACACAAGCCTGTCTCAGTTGACAAAAGGAACTCTGGTGATTCAGTGGTTAAAGCTATCCACTGCTAACCAAAAGGTCAGCACTTCAAACCCACCAGCCATTCCACAGGAAAAGGCCGAGGCAGTCTGGGAAGCCCTATGGGGCAGTTAAGTCTACTCGGTCCTGAGGAATCACAGAAGGTTGGAGTCTCCGTCTTCCACACGATGAACCCTGGACTCTGTAGGCAGCTGGTAGTCCTCAGCATCTCCTCCTCTGTGTGCTTGCTTCTGCATATCGAATATTCCCATGTCTCAACTACCCAGACTCTAGATACACTTGTAGTTTAGTGACTTTTCCTTTAAAATGTGACTCCCATTCCTGTACAAACCAGATTCCATGGGAACCAGGTAATAATAAATTGAAACAGGGATGTTCTGTTTTACCGAAGAACTCTAGTTAACAAATGTGGAAGGAATCTGAGAGTTCCAGGGTAGCCATCTTTCAGTCTCCGAGGAAAAACGGATGGAAGGGGACTGATGCTTCTTAGATGAAACCATTGGGGAGAAGCTCAGGCTGCTGTTCACTAGCCCATGCATCAATGGATCCATCACCAGGACTGGGGAAGCAGTGTGCTCTGCTCCCTGAAGTAATCCCACAGAGCGCTTGTGGAGAATGCCAACCTGGATGGGGTCAGGCTTCTAGAGTCATCTTCCATTCACAGGAGACACAAGGCAGAGGTCCAGCCTGGTTGACACCACAAGGAAGCAGAATATGGGCCCTCCTATAGGACAGCTGCAACAAGTCAGCTACTCGGGGGACCAGAGAATTGAAGCAATTCCTATTATTGATAAGTGCTGTTGAGCCAGTTCTGATTCATAAGGACCCTATATAGGGTTTCCAAGAAGCATCTGGTGAGTTTGAACTGCTGACCTTGTGCTTAGTGATCCAGTGCTAATCCCATAGTGCCACACCAGGAGCCCTTGGGAATATTTAAATAGACATGCCACCAAGGAATGATTGTAAGTTTCATGACATGTGATGCTGATAATGTGTCTGTCTGTGCTAACCCTAGCTTCTCCAACATCTCAGCTAGATCCCACACTGTGAAGTAGCTTCGACTTTGCTTTTCCTATACCCTTCTTACCTGGATGTCAGGAAGTTCTCATGGTTGTCTTTTTTTAAAATCAAAAGTGTCTTCCTCTTTGTAGGTGATTCACTTTAAACCAATGCTTCTCAAACTTTCATGCATATAGTTGTTTAAACTGGGTGACAGCCTACAGTAGGCAGTCATCAGACTAGGTTCACTACTTTGGAGTTTGAAAATTTCCATAACAAAAAGGCAGACCGTGTCTTTCTCAACAGCTGGGATTGGAGGTCTCTCCTCAGCAGTCCATCCTGATTAACTCGGGTTGTTTAATCACTGTTTTATTCAGGACCTAGTAGGAGTGGCTTTCTTCCCTGCTCTTGTCTTCTCCTGCTTCCCAGGCCCTCCTGGAACATCTAAGACTAACCAGATTGTTGTCACCGATCTGGTGGGCCTGCTCTTGCTTCCGCACACTGCGTTCTTCACGTGGAGGCCCTTCACCACCTCTGGCTTCCTCATCCATCAAGTCCCACCTCACCCTCTCAGATGTCCCTCGTTGTGCCAACGTTCCGAAATCTCTCATGTTTATAAACGTCTCAAGTCCTCATAGTTTTTCAGTAAAATTCCGCTCTGCCCAGTTTTTTTGTCCACCTGGGCCAGAAAGCTCCTTATATTCCCACAGAGCTGGGTACTGAGGGGTCAGTGCCGGAAGCTTCACTACAGATGAGGATACACAGGCTGTCTTTTTCCTTCAGGCTCGGGACGCAGAGAGCATCATGCTTAATCTCGCGGGACAACTGATCATGATGCAGAGGGACAGATCTGGCCCCCAAATCCGGGAGAAGGAGAGCAAGCCCAACCAGAGGAAGCTTGTGAGTCCGTGCAGAACACTGGGGGGTGGGGTCTGGAGGAACAGTGAATGAATGAATGACTGAATGAAATGTGATCTGGAGCCTGATAAATGTCCATAAAATTAGCCTCCCGCCTGCAGGTTTGAGGGTGACTTTGTTAAAAGGGAAGGAGGGAGGAGGGCGCCCCCCCCCCACACCCCTCAGGTAATGCGATGTCCCTCACTCACTCCAGCTGGAACTGTTACACATTGATGTTTGCCAGTTCTCCTGGCAGGATAAGGCTGCATTGGTGGGGTTGGGTCTTGGCTTTTAGAGTTCAGTGTACGTATGAGGGGGCTTCAAAAGTGTGTGCAACAGCGGAGTGAGAAGATCTGGGATTTCCCGCCGTATTTTGAGAGGCGGGGTACTGTGATTGCCCCTCGTTCTTCCCAGCTGTGGCGAATGACTGGGTCTTTTCTCTGCCCTGCAGCTGCCCTTCTGCGCCCCGGTGGTGTTGGCCCAGTCGGTGGAGAACGTGTGGACCAGCAGCCGTGCTAACAAACAGAAGCGCCACCTGCTGGAGGCTCTGTGGCTGAGCTGCGGCGGCTCGGGCATGAAGGTCTGGCTGCCGCTCTTCCCTCGGGATCACCGCAAGCCCCACTCCTTCCTGTCCCAACGGATCATGCTGCCTTTCCACCTGGACATTTACCCCCTGGCCGTTCTGTTTGAAGATGCGTTGGTCCTTGGTGCTGTCAACGACACGCTGCTCTACGACTCTCTGTGCGCTCGGAGCAGCGCACAGGAGCAGCCGGAGGGGCTGTTCCCCTTCTGCGTCGTGGAGAGAACCTCGCAGATCTACCTCCACCACATTCTGCGGCAGCTGCTGGTCAGGAACCTCGGGGAGCAGGCCCTCCTGCTGGCTCAGTCCTGCGCCACGCTCCCCTACTTCCCTCACGTGCTGGAGCTCATGCTGCACGAAGTGCTGGAGGAGGAAGCTACCTCACGGGAGCCCATTCCCGACCCTCTGCTTCCCACCGTGGCCAAGTTCATCACCGAGTTCCCCCTCTTCCTGCAGACTGTCGTCCACTGTGCCCGCAAGACCGAGTATGCCCTGTGGAACTACCTTTTCGCAGCCGTGGGCAACCCCAAGGACTTGTTTGAGGAATGTCTGATGGCTCAGGATTTGGACACTGCCGCCTCTTACCTTCTTATCTTACAGGTAACGGCGCCTTCCTAGAGGAGGGCCAGAGTGAGGGAGCCGGGACCTCGGAAGAGTGGCGTCCCACGTCAGCACCAGGACTGAGCTCAGGACAAGATCCAGTCAGGGCGGCAGGCGGGGGCGGGGTACGCTGGCTCGCCTTTGGGGACCTCAGTCTTGTCCAGTGTTGGCAGCAGGTTTCCCTGGGCACCACAAAGGAGCAGTGCAGGGCTTGTCCACTGCCCCCTTGGGAGAGGCCCAATGCAGAGGTACCAGCTCTGAGTGAAAGGAGAAGCCTGGCTTTGATGTCTGAGGGTTGGTCCGGGCTCCCGCGGGACTAGGGGTGTTGAATTGTAGTGTGGGGTTGTTGGGGACTTCTGGAGAGAGCTGGAGTCAGAAGAGCACCTTTTCAGGCCCCTCAGAGAAGGGGAGGAGGCCCAAGCTGCCACAGCGGGACCTCTGTTAGCACGTGCTTTCCCTCCCAATAATGGTTCTTGGAGAGTCCTGAAATTTAATTTTATTATATACTTGACAGAAGCGCTCTCGGTCTAACGTGGATTTGATAGGGTGCACCTGACGAACGGGCCCTTCTAACTCGGCCAAGTGGTTCACTTGCTGTAAGAAGCTAACGGTAATAAACCGACTGACCACGCAGCTTGAAACTGCCACGAGCACAGTGCCTCTCCACTCCCTTGCTTCCTGAGAGCTGAATGAAACCAGCAGACCAAGTTCTAGAAAGGGAATTGAAATCAATCTAACTGCCATCTGTCAGGTTCCTCCCGAGCTGTCGGTGGGCTCCTTACCAGTGACAGTGCCCGGATGCAAGCTGAAAGGTGGGCAGTTGCAGCATACCAGCTTCTCCATAGGAGACAGATGAGGCAATGTGCTTCTGTACAAACCTTGGGAGTCAGGTGTGCACTGCCCTTAGGGTCTCTGAGCTAGAAGCACCTTGAGGGTAGAAGGGCTCTCAGCTACTCGATCCTGGGAGACGTGTCTGCATGGCCCCTGTCCTGGAGCTGATTGGGGGAGATTATCGAGCATGCTGAGAGTAGAGCAGTTCCCTTCCCAGTTCCAAAAGCCGAAGTCTTATTGTCACATCCTCAGCAGACAGAAGTTCCGCTGTAGACTCAGGCAGACCTGGGTTGAGTCTTGTGTTTGTGCTGACCTTCACCAGTGACTTAGCTCCGGGTCCTCTGGATACCATGCCGATTGCAGGCGCTGTGAGAATGAATGAAATCACGTGTGTAAGGGACTGAGCATGGGACGGGTACAGAGTGGGAGCTCAGTGGCCGAGTCTGCGTCACCAGCAGCGTACTTGGTGTGGGGCTCGTCTTCCTAATCCCTATAGCACTCTAGCTGCTGCTTCCTCCTCTGGCTCCAGTCCCTGTAGAGAGAAGAATTGTGCCTTTAGCCCCAGGCATGTGCACTCTTTTGTAGAATATGGAAGTCCCGGCTGTAAGCAGGCAACACGCCACCCTGCTCTTCAACACAGCGCTGGAACAAGGCAAGTGGGGACTCTGCAGGCACATGATCCGCTTTCTTAAAGCCATTGGCTCTGGAGAATCAGAGACTCCTCCGTCCACGCCCACAGCTCAGGTCAGTTGCACTCTGGAGAGAGTGGGTGGGCCGAGCCCCCGTGCTGCGGCATCTGGCTCAGTGCACTGCACACTGTGTGTGATCCATCACAGGAGCCCAGCTCAGGGGGTGGATTCGAGTTCTTCAGGAATCGCAGCATCAGCTTATCCCAGTCAGCTGAGAATGTGCCTGCAAGTAAATTCAGCTTACAGAAAACCCTGAGCATGCCGACTGGGCCTTCTGGGAAGAGGTAAGCGGGGAGCGCTCGACTGCAGCTGTCGGGGTGTTCTGAGACACTGTAAAACTGGCTCTTCTGGAAACAGCTGTGGGATCCAATTGCAGTGCCTCCGATCTCAAAAGGCGGAGAGACCAGAATGCCCCACTTTTCCCCTTCTCTAAGCTCTGGTAGCATAGTGGCCACGAATTGGGCTGCGAACCTTAAGGTCAGCAGTTCAAAACTACCAGCTGTTTGCAGGAGAAAGATGAGGCTTTCTGCTCCTGTAAAGATTTACAGCCTCAGAAACCCTGTACAGGGTCGCTATGAGTCAGAACCGACTCCACGGCACTTAACAACAACAAAGTTCACTTCTGTCTTTTGGGCCTGAGCACTAGAGTACAGCTGGTGTACCTCTTCTCAGAGCAACTAACTTTCTAATAAGGAAGAGCAATCAAACTGTTTCACCCTGCTTGCCAACCATGCTTCTTGACAAAGCAGCCTTTAGTGTTCGTGCACCGGACTCTCCCATGACTCCTTTGATTGGAGGGGTCGTTGAACAGCGGGAGAGCCGAGAAGATGCGAATCCTGGAGATGGAACTCCAGGGTCCACAGGTGGGTTCTCTCCCCTGAGGGGTGACTGAACTCAAACGGACCGTGAAGAAGACTCTCCTCTGGTTTATAAGGGCCCTGTATTCCTGCCTGTGTTGTTACATGCTCTTGAACCTTGTTTTTCCACTTCCCTGGTCCTTGTTTTCTTATTCGCTCTGTGTTCTCAGTATAGTGCTGGGCACACAGTAAGAGCTAGAATGACATTTTTCTTACTGTGATGTTTCACTGTTTCCTCAGTCACTGGCTGTTGGTCCTTCACCACCGCCACCGTCACTACCTCTTTTACAATGTCCACCTCCATGACCACCTCTACCCCTGGTCACCACCAGCACTCACCAGCCATATATACATATATACATACATAAATACACCCACCATACATACATATATACATACATACATACATACATACACCCGCCATACATACATATATACATACATACATACACCCGCCATACATACATATATACATACATATACCCGCCATACATACATATATACATACATACACCCGCCATACATACATATATACATACATACATACAGAGTCCTGAGCCACATACAAGGCAAGATGCAGCTGTGGAAGGCTCGGCCCAGTTAGCAGGTACAGAGCTCTTCACCCTGAGTGTCAGGTACTGATCACTCGCTTCATCCTCATCACAAGCGTCAGGCAGATGCCGGCATTATCACAGAGAGGATGGCTTGCCACTGCCCTCTCCTACCCTCACCCGAAGGCACAGTGTGCATATCAGCTCCTCTAGTTACAGAAAAGGCCATCACCTACTGAGTTGAAAAAGTTGGTTGAATTTTCATGGAAGTACCTAACTCAGATTGAGAGGTTTCTCTTCACTTTGTGTTTCTGTCCTTAGTGTCTTAAATCTGATCTCCTGTCCTCTTTTCAAATACATTGATTTGCTCCCTTTCCCTCAGCCAGTCACACTCCCTCTCCTTGGCCTGGCTGCTTGGCCCTCTCTTTGCCCTGTTCCGTGCACTCTTTTTACAGTCTTTGAGTCTGCTGGGCTTCGGTGTGTTTGCCAGGATGCCGTTCATGCTATGGGAGATGCCCTGGCCTCTCTCCAGTCAGTGTGTAAATCTGGAATTCGGCTGCTGTGTGACTATGGCAGGTCCCCTTGGGATGGTGGCCTGAAGCTCTGCTCACTCCCCTGCAGGTGGAGCCGAGACAGTGACTGTGCTGAGAACATGTACATCGACATGATGCTCTGGAGACACGCCCGGCGCCTCTTGGAGGAAGTGCGGCTCAGGGACCTCGGCTGCTTCGCTGCCCAGCTGGGCTTTGAGCTCATCAGCTGGCTTTGCAAGGAGCGGACTCGGGCTGCCCGGGTGGACAACTTTGTGGTAGCCCTGAAGAGACTCCACAAAGATTTCTTGTGGCCACTGCCCATCATTCCAGCTGCCTCCATCAGTTCTCCCTTCAAAAATGGAAAGTTCCAAACAGGTAATGGCTCCAAGTCATGTGACTGCAAAGTCTCCCTCCTGAAGGCCCAGCAGCTGTGATCACAGCTCATCAGCTCATTGTGAACCACTTTTGTTAATCGTGCTGTTGAGTCAGTTCTGACTCATAACGACCCTGTATAGGGCTTCCAGGGAGCGGCTGGTAGGTTTGAACCAGCTACCTTGTAGTTAGCAGTCCAGTGCTTATCCTACAGCATCACACCAGGACTCCAGTTGTGAACTGGCTGAATATAAAGGCTCCTAGCGTGTATCATTGTGGAAGGTGTCTGGGGACCATAGATGGCAGTCTTACGGGGAGCCAGTAATCTTTATGACCTTTGCTCATTTTCTAAGCTAGCAGAGGACCTAGTGAAGCAGCATGTTTTGTTGAAAGAAAATGTAAAGAAAGCTTTGCTAAATTCTATTGTGGAAGAAAATTAAAATAAAACCCTATCAGTATGCCGTTTCTTACCTTACAAACCCAGGTGAGTACTATGAAGAAGACCCGAGTACGGCTTCACCTAGTTGTAGTAAGAGTGTTGTTGTTAAAGTGCCGTCAAGTCATTTCCGACTCATAGCAACCTTGTATAGGGTTTCCGAGGGGCGGCTGGTGAGTTTGAACCACTAACCTTGCGGTTTTAACCAACCGTATAGTCGAGCGCATATCCTACAGTGCCACAAAGCTGGAAGGTGATTATTTGGCGCATCTGCGCTCCCCCTCCGTTTAGTAGCCATCTCTTATCCCTCATTGAAGAGTCAGCATTTGGGGTGGGAGAACCTGCTGGGACTGTAATGGAAATGGCATCCGGACTTTCTCTCCTCAGTGGTGGTTGTTCTTGTCTGCTTTTGTCCTCCCCACTCCCAAGTAGGAGAGCAGCTGGTAAAGTCTCAATCAGCTGGACCCTTTTTAAACCTTGAGATGGACGCTGGCGTCTCTGTCATCCAGCGAAGTCAGAGCTGGCTTGACAACCTCAGCCCTACCCATCATGAAGTAGACTTGGCCTCGTCCTACGGAGCGCATATGCAAGAAGCCTTCCTGTCCCCTCTGGTTAATAAAGGTGAGTACCATTTGCAGTCTTGCTCTTCGTTAGCCTTTGGAAGACAGCAGCACGTCTGAGAGAGGAGTTCACTCTTTGCTCTCACCATGGGCCCTTGTGGATTCCTGGTCCCTCTCTGCTGGAGAGGGGCCAGCACTAGATCAGGAAATGGGAGCCTGGCCTGTACCTGGACGTTCTTATTTCACATGGACATGGCTTGGGGACCAGGGATTGACTGCCACCTGCGGGGAAGAGCCTGCGTCTCACATGCCTCTTTTGTAGGAAAGGAAAACATTCCCCAGACGAAGAGAAACTGGGCCCTTGACTAGACTAGAGCTGAGCATCATCCAGAAATAGCTACTGCTGCTTTATGCTCTCAAAAACCAGGGGACTGGGACAGAGCTGGGCAGTCACTGCCCCTACCCCCACCCACACCCCCGGAGGCAGCCGCCTAATGTCTGGCTAGGGTTCTTGTGGGTCGTTCCCGATAACGGGAATCACAGGTTCTGCACGGAGCCAGTTCATAGCTTGTCACCTCTTCCTCAGGTGACGAGTGTAGTATCGGTTCAGCCACAGACTTGACAGAGAGCAGCTCAGTGGTGGACGGGGACTGGACAGTGGTGGACGAGAACTTCTCCACGCTCAGCCTGACGCAGTCGGAGCTGGAGCACATCTCCATGGAGCTGGCCAGTAAAGGGCCCCACAAGTCCCAGGTCCAGCTCCGGTGAGTGCCTTGGCTGTCTGGCAGCAGGGACGTCTGGAGGCCCCCTCCCCTGTCCATCTCTGCAGCCTCTGTCACCGTGTGTCACCGTGTCTGCCCTCTCCAGGTACCTCCTGCACGTCTTCATGGAGGCTGGCTGTCTGGACTGGTGCGTTGTCATTGGCTTGATTCTTCGAGAGTCCTCAGTCATCACCCGAACACTGGCTGCTGTGCAGTCGTCTGAGGTGGACAGAGAGATGTTACAGAACATAAAGGCGGGGCTGCGTGCTGTGGACAGATGGGCCTCCACAGACTGGTGAGTACCGCTGTTTGTGGGCTGTCCTGCCTAGAGCCTGGCCATGCACAGGAGGCTTAGTTGGGCTGTACAGATGCTGGGCGGAAGGAAAACTGCCTTCCTGTGTCCAGGAGCACGTGAGTCCACCTTCAGTGCTGTTCTCACTTCTCCCTGGGACAGTTGTTGCTGCGGTGGGAAGCCCGCAGTACGTGTGATCTCGGCCTGGAGATGAGGTCTATCATTGTGTGGCGCTGATGGCTCTAACACAGACAGCTCAGTCCCAGAGCTGGGACGTGGGCGGCCTGGCTGAACCTGGCATCCCATGCAGTTGGCAGACAAGGGTTCGACACCTTGGATTTTAGGCCTGTCTCTAAGCACACAGAGCCTGTGCCTTCACTTCTAGGCTCTGGTTTTCCTTAATTGTCAAATGCTTCCAGGTTACGTGTTCTTTGAAGAGACCCCTTTTCAATTCTAAAATTCATTTGGGCCTTTGATGTTAGAATATGAATTTTCATTGTAAAACTGGCCCATGTTCATCCTCGCTCCCAGTGCTCAGACAGGGACCACCCTCCCGGGTTCCTAGCACTGGCCTTTGGCGCCCAGGTGTGACGTGTGAACAGGATACCTGTGGATGATGGCAGCCAGCTGTTTTCCCTTTCCTCCTCCCAGCCCCGGATATAAGCCATTTCTAAACATCATTAAGCCACAGCTGCAGAAGCTGAGTGAGATAACGGAGGAGCAGGTCCAGCCTGAAGCCTTCCAGCCAGCGGCGCTAGGGAAGACCCCCGAGCAGACAAGCCCGCGGGCCGAGGAGAGCAGGGCCTGTGCGGGCCATAGCGGCGCAGCCCCTGGTGAGGTCGGGGCCAGCAGTGTGGCTGGCCGCACGGAGGAGGCTGCGGCCTGTGCTGATGACCAGGAGACCTTTCCGGATGGGACTTTTGACTGTTCCGTGTCCTGACAGCGGGGGGCAGCCTCCCTGCGAGCCATGCTGAGGAGCAGCAGTGCGCGTGCGCCGGGACCCCAGGGGCCCTCATCACGGTTCAGATGGGAGAGGGCGCCACGCAGAGACTGCTGAGGGATTTCTAGTGACTCCAGACAAACGTGCTGTCAGTCAGCTTTCCTGGAAAAGTTTTCAGCTGCAGTTGTGCAGACATACATGCGAAGATTTCGGTTGTATTCTTATAGGCTGGCAGCCCTAGGGATGGCGTGGCCCCACACCGATGGACTTCCTCCCTTTTCAGCCTCTTGCCTGATTCCTGGGGTGTCCAGACAGCTTCTTTTATAAACGCGAAGGTGCTGGCTGTAGCTCCTGAGGACGGAAGCTACCTGTCCGCTCCCCTGGACAGTCCTGGATGCCCCCGATGGGGTCTGCTAGCCCAAGCCCACTGGGAGGCTGCGTGCCAGCTACCTGCCCGTCTGGCCAGGTTAGGCCCAGTCCTCCGATGAGCCGTTAGACACCACGGACTGTTCTGTGTCCAAGAAGTGTTACTTTATGTGAATACTAACCTCGTGTACACACACCCAGAGGTTCCATCCCGCCGGCAGGGTTTGTATTCGAGAGCTTGCCGGGCTGCCCGCTGGACTCTGCCCAGCACCAGAGCCTCCCGCTGGTAGACAGCTTCCCCGGGTCTGAAGCGGCCTCATCAGGACGGGCTTCGGAGCCTGGCTGGCTGTAGGTTATCATTAATGGTCACACTGATCATGAAACGAAACAGGTTTTGTGCAAATTCACGTAGTTTCTTATTTATTGCTTTTTGTAAATTGAATAAAAATGGGCTTTTATGTAAATAGACTGCTGAATCCTGTATTATCACGGCTACTAAAAATTAGTATGTAAACAAAGTGTTCTTCATTGTAACTTTTAAGCTATTTTATGTATTTCTAGATATGACTAAAAATTTTCGTTTCCATACATTAAGGAAACATAACTGCGTATTCCTTAATTGCTTTCAGGCAGAACTTATATATTCGCTGTATGTAATTCTAATGACCTTAACAACAGTATTCATTTAGGTAGCTTGTTTGTACTGTGCAATTTGAACAAAGGAATGCAATGTTATTTTTTACAAAAACAAAACTTATTTTTATAATAACGATGTATTTGATGTGGACCAAATTCCTACCACTATGTAAAATGGTCTCTTCTCTCAGAGTGCAGTCATACTTAGAACTAGAACCAGCTTCTGTGCTTGCTTTCTGACGTCATTGCCTACATGTCGTTTTCAAACCAAGTTTCTTTCACAAGGACACTCAAAAGCATTTAGAAATCTTTAGTTCAAACTTTATCAAACTGTACTTAAAATTGAGTTTGGTAATTTATTATCGTTTTACTTTTTACAAGTGCAATAATTTCACAGAATAAAAGTTTCCAGTGGGTGGAACATGTAATTGTTGGTACTTGGTCCTTCTGGTGCTCCTTGTATTTAGTGTTTGTTTCCAAACCACCTTTCCAAGCTTCTTAAAGTTAGAGAATGGTCCCCATGGGGGTACATGCCGCCCAGCACAAACGAAGCTGAACTTGCCTGTCCTGGCCCACCAGGGAGAAAAGCCAGCATAGTGGCAGTGTTTGGTGTGACTATTGAGTCAATAAAAATCGTTTGCCATCGCTGTACACAGCCACAATCCTTTCAAATCATCCCAGATAGCTTTGTGCCAGGTTCTCTAAGCAGGGCCCTCGTGTGGTAACTATCTGCAGGATGACCACTGGTCAATCTTGTCTTCATAATACACACTGGGTTCTTCTCCAACTAATAAAACAGGTGGCCACGTGGGGAAAAATGGTCAGGATTATAGAAAAGTCCTCTCTGATCATCTGGGTTTTGTTGTTTTTTCTCCTGTGTTTTCTATCATCTTTAAAACTGCAAATTTACATTTTGCTTTGTTGTTTGGTTCACATATCAACTGTTTAAGCCATTATATTACCCAGTGGATTTCAACCCCTGGTATGTTTGAAGTTTACTAACTACATTTAAATTATTTTGCTGATACCAAGACAGGAAGTCATTTTGGGAGTAAACTCAACTTTTGTGTGTAATTAAAGTTGCTGCAACTTCTGTGGTGAATTACCCCCCCCCCCCAATTGGTGCTCATCTCTGTAAGGAAAATAAAATGATTACATGAACTTTTGTTTATTCATCACCTTAGAGCTGACAATAGTAAACAGTAAATGTATCAAAAACAACACAAAAATGAAAATATCCTTTCTATTTTAAAATTCTCTCAGAATTTTCCTTATCAAATAGCTAGAAAGAGAAATGGATTTAAATGTCGATTTATACGCCGAGTTACTTAAAATGAGCACATCAAGAGTTAACCGTTTCCTAAATGCCTAACTGCAGAGGGCTGGGGCAGCCAAACAGGACTCACACAGTAAAACTGCCGAGAAGCGCTGGCATGAGACTAGTCCCAGCCTGAGGAGGCATACCTTACTATCTCCACCTGCCAACAAGTGTATAGACAAGGGTGAAGGAGAACAGGTGTATCGCTGAGCCTGCGGGGACTTCTGCCGACTTTCATTAGGAAACCCTAGTGGTGCCATGCATTGATTAAGTGTTGAGTTGCTAATCCCAAGGTTGAGTTTCAAACCCCCAGCTGCTTTCCCAGAGGCAGATGAGGCTGACTGCTCCCATGAAGATACTGACAGACTCAGAAACCCTAAGGAGCAGGTGGACTGTCCGATAACTACACTATGACTCATTCAACTCGATGGCAATAGATAATTTCCCGTATTTTCCAAATATATACTCCGCAACTACTATGTATTCTTTCATAATGAGAAATGGGCACCAAGGAACAAAAGACTTTCTAAAATGATCACCTTGGAGCTCTAGGGTTTTTGGATTGCGGACCTTTTGCCAGCACTTGGCTTTCAGGCCAGTCACTCAGAGGAGCTGCCTGAGCCAGCGGAGCATCAGCAAGTGGGCTCCTCAGGAACCAGCTTGTGGGGTGAGGCAGGGAGAAGCAATTCCTACAGGGGTGGCGAGCATGGACACCCAGTAGAAGCCACTACAACCACAGCCAGTCCTGGACCATCCTTACATAACACCATGATGAGTATAAAACTCGCTGCTTCAAAACTTCATGAAGCAAAGCAAAGTAGAAGTTCCACGCCATCACAAGTAATTTTAAGTAAGATAATTCTTATGCCACAAAACCCGTCCTTTTTAATATTGTAGAATTCAGTGGGAGGCATTTTCACAGTGCTGGAATTCCAAAACATTCACATCTCCCAAGTAGACCTATACCCATTAGTAAGTGTTCCATTTCTCCCCGCAGGCCCTGACAACCACCAATCTGCCTTCTGGCTCCATGGCTGTGCTGTTCTGGACACTTCCTAAAAATGGAATCATACAATATGGGTGGCTTTTTGCATTTGGCTTTTTCAGCATACATTTTAAGCTGTTTTCTTGTAGTACAAATCCACAGAACATTGGCTGATCCATGCTTCTGACAAATTGACTCTAGCATAACTTTTCCTGGTTTTTATCAGGTTTAAGGTTTCTACCGGTGAATTTCCAGTCTTATTCCCCAGGCTGGCATTTCTACTCTAGGATGGCGAGGAGGGAAGGGAGGCTTTTCAGCACAGAGCTTTCCTGTCCCCCGGGACGTGCTCATCCCTCCCTCCACAGCCACATGTTCACTCCCCAGCCCTGGAAGCTCCCATGAGGTTGTGGCTTCCACACTGAGATTGGTCTCCCCAGGGGCATCAAGCTTAGTTAGCATAGGGCCCCCAGGTGATCCCCTAGGTAGGTGGTCAGCCCTTACTCATTGACCTCAGGTGTCTCTTCAGACTACAGACCATATCAACACGGCAGAGATGGTACACACAAGGCTGAACAACTGCCACAACCAACCTTTTCCAAATGATTCCCCACCACTCCTAGAACTCAGGGCCCTCCAAGCACACGCCTGTTTCCCACTCCTGGTAGCCACAAAAACAACTTTGGTCTATACATTTACCTGTGTCTCATATACATTGTTTTTTAACTGCTGTCTAGTCGGTTCCAACTCATAGTGACTCTGTATTGGGTTTCCAAAGAACAGAACCGCAAACCTTGTGGTTCAAACCAACCTTTTGGTTGAGTGTTTTATCCTACAGCGCCACAACAGTGTTGTTGGGAGGTGCCATCAAATCAGTACCAACTCATAGTGACCCTATGCACAACAGAACGAAACACGACCTGGTCCTAAATCAACCCCACAATTGTTCCAACATTTGAGTTCACCGCTTCTGCCACTTGGCTGGGGGTCTTTCTCTTTATCTCTGACCCTCCACCTTACCAAACATGATGTCTTTCTCCAGGGACTGCTGCCTCCTGACAATCTTTCCGAAGCCTCACCAAGTCTGGCCATCCTGGCCTCCAAGGAGCACTCTGGCTGCACTTCTTCCAACACGGATCTGTTGGTTCTTTTGGCAGCCCATGGCACTTTCAATATTCTCCTCCAACACCATAACTCATATGCATCAATTCTTCTACGGGCTTCCTTATTCACTGCCCAGCTTTCGCATGCAAATGAGGTTATTGAAAACACCATGGCTTGGGGCAGGGGCACCTTGGTCCTCAAACTGAATCTTTGCTCTTGAACACTTCAAATAGGTCTTATGTAGCAGATTTAACTAATGTTTAATTTCACTGCTGACGGTTGACGGTTGATCCGAGCAAAATAAAGTCTTTGACAACTTCAATCTTTTCTCCATTTATATGGATGTTATTTATTGGTCCAGTGGTGAAGATTTTTGTTTTCTTTAAGTTGAAGAGCAACCCATGATGAAGGCTGTGATCTTTGATTTTCATCAGCAAGTATTTTAAGTCCTCTTCACTTTCAACAAGCAAGGTTGTATCATAATCCAGATTCTTGAATTATTTTCTCAGCATACAGACTAAATAAGTATGGTGAATGAATACGACCCTGGCAGACACATTTCCTAATTTTAAACTACTCGGTGTTCCCTAGTTC